ATAAACTACTTTCGTTAAATAATAAAAAAGAGGAACGTGCCACATCTTCTATTACAAAAATAAAAATGGCGCAATCTGTAAATATTGCAGTAAAATTTATCAGAAAAAAACCAAGATTTAGGTGTAATATGAACTATTAAGAAATTTGCACATTTTATCAATACGTAATAAATAACGAATATTACGAGACCTTTTTATGCATCTTATCATAGTAATTTTTCATTTATTCTAAAGAAAAAACACACCAAGATAATTTATTGCTAAGCTATTTTTTTTTTTTTTTTTTTTTTTAAATACATTTGTTACTAGTAAAAAAGATCAATTTAGGATCTGCAGTATTGTTTTTATCCCAAAAATATTTTAAGGTACTTTGACGATGGAATTTGAATGTCGATGTGTGATGTACTGTATAAATTGATAAAAAAAACGCATCTGTACATTTAAATAAATTTATTTTGTATCATAAAGCATAAAATACAAACTTGTGTATCATACATCATTAAAAACGTTCAAGATCTTGAAGAAAAAATGCACTGATTTAAACTACATTTTTTATTTGTCAACCCATAAAAATTCCATTGAAATCTTTCTTCTTCTAACAGTTTCTTCTGTATAAATTAAAATATATATATGTAACGGTCCCCGCTAAGAGGAAAAAAACTGATTAGACCAGAGCAAAGCAAGTTTTCGAAACACAAATTGTAGTTTAATCGACGGATGTTCATCTCCCATCTCGGATAGAGCAACGGGTGAAGTGCACTTCTCGATTGTACCTCCTCCGGAAGCCTCTCTTGCAGATAAAACACTGGAACGGTTTTTCATCCGTGTGGACCCTTATATGCCTCACGAGACTACTTGCAGTACCAAATGCTTGTGGACAAACCGAGCACTTGTGGGGCTTCTCCCCAGTATGGGTCCTCATATGCCTCACGAGACTACCTGCAGTACCAAATGCTTGTGGACAAACCGAGCACTTGTGGGGCTTCTCCCCAGTATGGGTCCTCATATGCCTCACGAGACTACTTGCAGTACCAAATGCTTGTGGACAAACCGAGCACTTGTGGGGCTTCTCCCCAGTATGGGTCCTCATATGCCTCACGAGACTACCTGCAGTACCAAATGCTTGTGGACAAACCGAGCACTTGTGGGGCTTCTCCCCAGTATGGGTCCTCATATGCCTCACGAGACTACTTGCAGTACCAAATGCTTGTGGACAAACCGAGCACTTGTGGGGCTTCTCCCCAGTATGGGTCCTCATATGCCTCACGAGACTACCTGCAGTACCAAATGCTTGTGGACAAACCGAGCACTTGTGGGGCTTCTCCCCAGTATGGGTCCTCAT